TGATCAGACCCTGGCCTGTGTCCAAGTGGCATTCTATTACCCCCACTGCTCTCTCCTCTTCAACTAGAGCCATCTGGAGGCTTTTTCAGCTGCCTCCACGTTGTTGCCTATGGCTCTTTTTCGGTTTGCACCTGTTATCCCCAGTGTGCCGTAGGCTTTGCTCAGGGAGTGACTGGCAAACCCCCGACTTCCACCTCCACTGGCATACACCTGGTCTTCCACCCGTTCCTCCGACAATCCTCCACCAGCTCCTGGTACTTCTCCGTCTTTCTTTCTTGAGCCTCCTCCATCCTCTCCTCACATGGAACCATCAGTTCCAGCAAGAAGAGGTATTTTGTGGCCTCTGAGACCAAGATGATGTCAGGTCTCAATCTGGACTGGGTGATGTGTGGTGGAATTTTCAGCTGCCTCTCCAGGTCAACTGACATCACCCAGTCTCGGGCCGTGGGGAGCAAACCAGCAGAGCGGTTCTTTGGTGTTTTCTCCGGCCTTTGTCCTTCCTTGACAAAGTGAATGGCATTAGCTGTGGCTTGGGTGTGTCGGCTGCCCTTGATCCCCTTGCTGATTGCTTCAGCGATGGACTTGGGGACCTGGTCGTGCCTCCATTGATACCGGCCCCCACCCAGCGCCTTGGAGCAGCTGCTCAGGATGTGTTCCAGTGTCCCTATCTTGGAACACAGGGGGCATGCAGGTGTTTCTATTTTGCCCCATATACATCGGTTGGATGGGCTTGGGAGGAAATCATAGACTCCCTGAATCAAGAACTTGATCCTCTGGGGGTTCCACTGCCAGATATCCTTCCAGGTGACACTCCGCTCCATCGCCTGCTCCCACTTCATCCAGGCGCCCTGCTGCCGCATGGTCACTGCTCTGCTGGTTCGCTCTTCCTCGACTGAAGCTCGCACCTCCTCCTGCACCAACCTCTGCCTCTCCCTTCCGCTGGCAGAGTCATATCGGGCTGCTGCTAGGCTCCCAAGTCCGGCTCTGCCTTGCGCCACTGTTCCAAGGATGGCCTTGTGCTTCAGTCGAGTTTCTGCTTGCTGGACTGCATCCACTGCCCTCCACTTCCTCCCTGTCCTCACAACAATCCCTGCCCCGGACACTTTGGCGTCTCTGGATCCAGAGTACTGCAGATGTTCCCATGCCCGTGCCACAATGAACTCCTCCCTGACTGAGCTGAAGGGGAGCCTGAGCTTATTGGTGTTCCCGTACAGCCCAATGTTAAAATACACAGGAACTCATGTAGGCTACTTGTAAGACAATACTTTATTGTGTGTGTGATTTCATATACTAAATAACTATTAAATCTTTTTGTGCTTATTGGTTACATCTGTGTTCAATGTGAAGTAACAGTCATTTTAATTAAAATCAGATAAATGTAGTGTAAATGTTATTGTCTGCTTGATTAGCTACATTCTGTTGCTGCATCTGTATTGATATCTGTAGGATTGATGCATGGTTGGTGGTACTCATACATATGTTTGACAACTTTAATTAAGTTGATTAAGTAACAGTGTGTGATTGCATATGTTCTTGTGTGTATTAGAAAGAGTGCATCAGGGTAAGCGTGCATGACTCAGAGCTCAACTTGAACTCCAAGTCGTAGACAACCTCCAGTTATGCTGCTCTGTGTGACAGGATGATCATACATCTTTGATTATTTGATTATATGGAAAACCCTTTGTGAATCACCCTAATGTGTGCAACAATGCAAAAGCTCTGACCTGCTGTGAGCTTCAGTGCTCTTCAGGAAGTGAAACATGTTACAGGCTGCGTTCATATCAAACTATCGTATGTGTTAATGAACTTCATCTTCATACCCCATAAAAACCATCAAACATGATTACACTTTTCTATGAGCTGACGGTTTGATGGTCTATGGTAATTGTTAATTTCATTTAAAAACCAATACAATAGTGAATTCAGGCCATTCACAATACAGCAGCCATCCTAGTTGTTTAAAGGCTCTTAAACATATTTTACATAACCAGATGTGACTCGTTTGAATGGGCCAAATTAGCTTGAAATTGGCTACATTAAGAGAGGGAACAGACAACTCCAGGAAGAAATAAAAATAAAACTTCATAGATTAGTGTCAACGCTAGGTTTTAAAGCTGCTGCAACACTGCACTTACTGCAGCAAATCCAAAGATTGCAAAAAGTAGCCGCGTATTTGTTATTTTAAGTAGCAATAGATTTATGGTCATCCAAATCCTAGTGTTCTTAAGGCATGCTTCTAGTTTAATTGTATCATCTGGTAATAAGTACAATTGAGTATCATCTGCATAAAAACGAACATTTATGAAATGTTTCCTCATAATATTACCAAGAGGAAGCATATATAAGGTGAAAAGAATCGGTCCAAGCACTGAATCCTGTGGAACTCCATGGCTTTCTTTGGTGTGCATAGAAGACTTATCATTAACATGAGAGATGAAGACGCATTTATTGACAAATACACAAAATAGGTCACAAAGCACACGTAATGAGCTGTGTAGTCTAACAATATCTCCACGGTAAACATTTCCGTATGGCTTCTTTTAGGCCTTCAGTTACAAAGATTAAGACTCATAAATACATATAAAAACTGGGAACAAGTGTGAAAGCTCATTCCGTTTTTCTATAATAAACAAATGAGTAGATAAACCACAGTATGTAGGTAAGCATGTAAAAGATGTTTTTATGATAAACATGAATAAACAGAGCACATGCTAAGAGAATAAATATGAAAATACAAAAAACATGAAAGAACTTATATTTCTGTATTGCTGTTCACCGCTGTTCTTTGGATTAGAGACGTTTTTATGTTGTATCGGTGATTGTTTACATTCTTTGAGAGGCTAATGCTAACTGCTCATTGCATAGCTTCCAGGGAAAAGTCATGCTTTGACAAACCCGAGATGATTTCTTCTTTAGATACAAGTCAAGACAGAATAACTGTAGCCAGCAGTTAACTCCAAAGTTAAGGTTAATTTCAAGTCTGTAAACACGTTATATGGACGGAGATATTTTATTCTAAAAGTGACCCAAAATGACTTATCAATCTGTGACTTTTTAAAAACTGTAAACGCAAACTCCAAGGTTTGGCAAACATCATCGGAAACGTTTTGGCGTTGTTCTGTAACTTCAAGTGATGGTGACATGTTGTCTCAATAAAACAGCCCGAAGTAACACCACAGGTTAAGTGGTTAAGTGCTTATTGTTGGTAGTGAATACAGAAAATTTATTCAAATATTCAATATATAATTGCACGAACAAATGTCAATAAAAAATGTCTAACCAAATATTATATGAGCTGGGGGAAGGGGGGGGGTCGTTGCTATAGCATCAAGATAGATGGCTGTCCACATGCTAGTCTGGTCCTGCTCGAGTTTTCTACATGTTGTTGTTTTCTACTCCACTGTTGCTAGGTGCTTAGTTATGGTGGATTATTGGGTCTAAGTAAATGATACTTCAAAATGTTCAATCTCGACCTGCTCTGGATGTTCAAAGTTTATATGACTTTTGTTGTGATTCAGCGCTATATGAATAAAAAAAGATGTATTGATTGATAGTTGTTCAGGTATGACCATTAGCATTTTGTAGCTACTTTTAGCCGTTATTAGAATGACAATCATTTACTGTTTAAGCCGTGCCGTCCCTGTGACAATACTCCATTTGTGCTATTGGTACTTGTCATAACATTTCCCCATATTAGATACATGTAACAAAAAATATATATATATATTTGTGTAACTTCAAAAAAAACTTTCATAGTTCATTTTGAACATGAAAATGTGCAGGCCACAATTTTCTGTTTCCAGTTAAAAAGGCACTTCTCTTCTCATTCTCTCTCTCTCTGAAGTCAGATATGCAAACTAAAGCACTACACATACTGTATATACAAATCACATAACTCAAAGGCACTGAATCAATTTACAATCGCAGCACAAAAAAAGAGACATACAAAATTATGTTTGGTCCTCTAAAAGCATACTTTGCTGTGTGGGGTTGGGATGGCAGTTTTGGTTGCTACATAATCAATTTACATGTATTCAAAAAAGGCAGTCTTAGTTGGATGTATTTGTCGTATAATTCATTTCTAAATGCATTATATAAGAAAAACAAGGCACGTGTTGGACCCTGGTCATCTGCACGATAGATTTACATTTGTTCTCCTTGCATTTCCTTTTTGCCGCTTCCTGCATGCTGTAGTCCAAGCATGAAAAGCATAAAGTCTATTTCAGTCTGGTGTTTCCCTTTCTTCTTGTTTCCTGTGACAGTTTTCAAATGCGACAGGAAGCTACGCGTGGCTGTGGACGGAGATGCTGGACAGGTCGTTCCTGATGATCTCATTGACTGCAGAAGAGAAGAGAGAAAGGACGGTCAGTGTGTTGTGTGTTTGTGTGAGGGAATCTGACATAAACAAAAAAGCTTTCTACTGGACATCTCTGGAGTATGACACTTAACAGATGACTGTATTTGTGCCTTTTTCCCTTTGCATTGGTTTTCAATTGGACAACCGTTTGCTATAAAATAAACAGAATGTCATATCGTTACTTACACGAAACAGAATTTTAAAAACATTTGAATCAAAACTGATGAAAGATGCAAAGTTTTTAATTTATGTTGGAAATATTGGAAAATCAAATACTAAAAGTCATCATCGTCTTTGTCAAACAAAGCCATCATCATCATCAATATCATTAATAAGGTCAAAGGTGTTCATAAAGAGCTGGGTCTTTAGCTTTTTCTTAAAGGTGCAACGGGACTCTGCAGATCGAGTGGAGTTTGGTAGTTAATTCCACCACCAGGGGGCGACAGAGGGGAAGAGTCTAGCTGGAGACTAAGTTTGAGCTCCACTGTCTTAAAGTAATATCCGACTGTTTACCTACTAAACGCTTGGTTAATGTGACCTGCTAGTCCCTTACAGTGTGCACATTTGATTCTTAAAGGTTGGGCTATTGGTGTGTAAAATAGCTGAGTCATGCTGGAGGAAGTGATGCAGAATTGTGTGTTTCATCACATCTCTCACATCACGCACCCTTTTTCCACAGTTTATATAAAACATTTACAGTTGCAGCTTTAAGGTAGCATCTTCAGCCAATATGAAAGCAATCCTCTGAGCTCTATAGGAGCTTTTATTTCCTCTGAGTCATCCTAATAGAATCAGGCTCGGCTATATCTTAGATCCCCAGACCTTTTTCTTTTCTTTTCTTTTTTTTTTTTTTTATCAGGAGAGATGATGCAACCTCCCGCTGTCTCTGCAGGGTCCAGGTGCACTTGTTTATCTGTTTTTATCAGCTGTGTTCTTTGGCTGCAGAGGGAGAGAGGGAGGAGGATCTCAATGTAACGGAGCAGTCTGACTGAGGCTCAACCAGAAAATAAATAGAAATAAAAGCACTGATAGCAACAAGAACAAATCATTTCCCCCCTCATTTTTCACTATCTTTCCCTGCAAAGTAATTTATTTCTTTAAGAAGAATCCTCTCCACCGTTCCTCCCACCGTAATCAGCTTCTTATTATTTAAACCAGCCACAAAATCAGGCCTCTCGCTCTCCTCTCACAGGGGTGAGAAATATGCAGAAGAAAACGGGAACACCCCTGGAGCTGGCCCGGGAAAGCGAGCCAACAGGCCGAGGGAAGGAGTTCCCTTTGACTGACTGGACGCTGGAAAAGCAGCCTGGAAACCCGAGATTCCCCTAAACACAATGGAATTATCTTTTTTTTTCATCTCAGAAGTTTATTTTCATCACAGGCAGCAGAGCGGGCCTTCCCTCTGTGACCCAGCTCTGGCAGACTCGTTTCCTACCAGAAATACCACTCACTTCCCATCCTGAAAAAAAGATGACTGAGTGTACGTGCCTGGCAACAAATCTGCTTTAAAAGTATCTGTGGGTTTTTCCAAGTTTGCAGGAGGCTTTTTTTGTAAAAAAAAAAAAATTGCAACATATAAACGTGTCGTAACCACCTTGAGGTACTAAATAAAAAACCTGAGGAGGAACTTTTCTCTTCTGAGCAACACATATTTGAAATTTTAACTGAAGCTGTTTATAATTCCAGCGCTTACAGAGATTTGTTTGACATGAATTTTATGTGTTTGGCTCGCCGATCTTCTCGCTGCTAATAATAAAGGAACAAGAAGATCCCTCATGAGGTCTGATAACGGCAGAACAGCAGCGATCTCACATGAGCGTGTCGCACAAACACAGGGACACACTGAACCTATTATGTGACCATGAGCGGGGTGAGATTCACATCAGTGCGTGTTTGTGAAGAACTTGGCAGCGAGGAAGAGACTTGTCAACACGGCTCTCTCTGACATTTTCTATTCAGGTGGTCTAAAACGTTTTCTCTTGATTCAGCAGACGATCAAGCAGACGACCAAAAAATAATGTTTAAAAGGTTCATCTTAAAGGGGCACTACACTAAAAAAAAAAAGGAGAAATAGCTTTGACGACCAGTAGACAATTCAACATGGATGATGAATCAAAGTTGTACTGATTCTGTTAAAAAAATAGTTAATGCTTTATGTATGAGAGGCCGACAATGATGCTACAACTTCTGTGTAAAGCCTTGTCCTTATTGTATGCACCAGCAGACATTTGACCAGTAGACATAAATGGAAATTAAACATGGGGTGAAATGCATGTAAGCATGACTGGAGAGGATTTATGTTCCAGTGTTAAATCTAGAGATGTGCACATTTAGTCGACTAAACAGTCAAAAGTCACCCTAGCTAGTTAGCACCAGAGTTATTAGTCGGTTAAAACATTTTTATTAATTATTTTAGATGTTGGCCCTTGATGCCAGTCAATTGTTATGCTCTGACTGCAAAACAGCAGTCTGCCACTAGATGGGGCTGTTGCCAAAGACTGGCTGTAGCTCTGGTTAATGTGCCTGTTCTCCTTCTGCTCTACTACCTGGATGTAAACGAGCTCAGTGAACGGATAGCATGGATAGCAGTGAGGTTAGGCAGTATTTTGACAAACTGCGCTGCAATCTCGTCCTGATCCAGAAAACAGAGATATAAAAATGTATGTAGGCTGTGTCAGGTTTTAGTGACCAGCGCAATTTGAGCCTCATTTAGCAAAAGGCATTGGGATGTTGACCTGCAGGGAGGGTCGAAGGCTGGGGGTACTAGCACTGCTAACGTTAGCAACACTAGGCAAACCAAATTACATGGTTTACTTGCACACAATATTGAATACATTTTGCAAAATTTTTGACTGATTACTGAGTGTTTTCTTACGTGCAAACTAGTCGGTAAAACTGAATTTAAATTTCCATTTAACAGTCGAGCAAATATGGAGCACACAGCCTTAGATAGCCAATATCCTGACCTGATCATTTGATTGACTCAATGGATCTGTTGGACTGGGCAGGCTGTGAGCTTACAGAAACATATGTATTAAAAAACGACACAAATAAAACATAAATCCAAACGTGCCAGAATGAGACCTTCAAAATTAAAGCTGAGAATTCAGCGAGCTAAAGGAGGACCTTTGCTGTGAATCTCTCTCCTTGGCTCCACGGACGCCACAACATCGACTGTTTATGTGTCCGTTGTCATGGCCCACTTTTCACCGTGTCGTCACTTTTGAAGGGGAGGATCTAATTGAAACAGAAGTCAATCTATTGATCTCTTAAGTGTGTCTACAACAAAAATCCTTAAAATAGAGCCAGCACCAGAGTGACATCTGTGTCATCATGTGCTCTCTGCTCACATCGATCTGCTCAGGAGAGAGTCGAGAACAAACCAACAGCAGGAAACACACGGAGCGAGCGCAGCAAACAAGTGGGTTCATTCAGAAAACAACTGAACTGATATTGGTTGTGACATATAAGACATATCTTAGTGAAGACAGCTCCATTTGGAAAACAGTTAAGAAAACAACCTTTCTGTTTGTCTATTTGGTAACTGTTCATGATGTTTCTATCATATCTGTGTGATCTGTGTTGCCTGTCAGAGTTGCCCTGTTGTTCTAAAAGTAAAACTTCATCTTAACCCTTTCTGAACATGTTCACTTTGCGTTGAATTTGCCAAGTTTTTGGGGCGGCAGTAGCTCAGGGTGTTGGGACTTGGACCAAGTCTGGAAATCGGTCTGGTATCTGGAGAGGTGCCAGTTCACTTCCTGAGCACTGCCGAGGTGCCCCTGAGCAAGGCTCCCCCCCCTCTCTCTTTTGGCCCAAGTCTAGCTCCACATTTCAAACAGTGACAAATAAGTTGTGGGTAACTAAAACAAACACATGACTGTTAGCTGCGATGTTAGTAAGTTAACAGTTATTCAAAATAAGGATTGGGTTTGACATGAAGTAAACCAGGAACTAGTTTCCTGTTGACGGCAGCTGGAGCGGTCTGATACAGCTCGACGCCCCCCAGCCAGGAAATCCCCGACAGACGAGGAACTCCCAAACAATCTAAGACGACAGCACTGTTAGCCTCATTAAGGGCTGAAACGTATCAACGTGATCCGGTCTGTAATAACACAATACTACAGAGGAACTGATCAGGTGATATTCAACCACACCACCAACCCCCCTCCTCATTTAAATGATACAATACAAATACAATATGCAGAATTTTATTAGAATATTTACATCAAAATATCTAAATTCATAAAAGAATGGCCTAAACAAATGTTATATACATTTTATGTTGAGTACTTACATTTGCTCAAATATTTCAAACAGTTATCAAAGCCAAGATAAATCCTTAATTTTAAAGTTGTAACGGGACGTGTCTTGTTGTGGAGGCCGCCATGATAGACACGAGATATGTATCGTTGCCGTGGTAACACAGGTTGTTAGAGCCACAACACCATCTTTTGTAACTGTTTTGATTGACAGCCCCTGGTGGCGAAATTAACAAACTGTGCCTTTAACCATCCGTCTCTGTTTACCGCCACGTCAAATCCAGGCCTCAAGCCATGAAATGTTCTTAAGGCTCCTACTGCCTTACTGCAAGTCAGTCCCACAGATCCGTCCCCCAGTTCACCACAGATTTAGACAGATTTTTTTTTTAACCCTGGTTGTATTTCCCAGTGGTGCTGAACCAATAAAAAAGAGGGAGGGTTCCAACAGTTCCTAGAACTATGAAAAAGTTCCTGCGGTGTGAAAACGCCTGTTGACATTTGTCAATAAAGTTTCCTTTGAAAACTCCCAGAGATGGAAGTAGAAGTCAAAAAACACTCTTTGCTTTCTTTCTAACAAACAAACCAGAGCGCAAACACAAGATAACTAGAAAGCTGAATCATAACCAAGCGGGAGTTCTGCAGCCATTTCCTGTCAACTATTCACTCCTTCATTTATTTCTTGATAGGAGGGGGAAGACAGGTCAAAAAGGTGTGTCTGCTGTTGCCATAGTGATTTCAGACGCTGTGAGAGAGTCGGTACAGGCACAATCTGGAAAAGAAAGCCCTGAAGTTGGGGAGTCAGCTCGTGGCTCTGCTCTCACTGAGTGTTTGTAGGTGTACAAAAATTCAAATTTCAAATTTCTCCGAGCAGTCGGGAGCAGCAGATCAGGTTTGTGATCAGCATTTGTGCCACCCTGCACGCCGCACAGCACATGATGCATTTCAGCCTGGCTTCAGAATCTGTTATGCTTCTCAAAAATTATCTGAAAATCTTTAATGTCTTTTAAAAATTGATTTTTGGGTTTTTTGTGCCGAGAGATAGGACAGTGGATAGAGCTGGAAATCAGGGAGAGAGAGAGTAGGGAATGTCATGCGGAAAAAAAGAGGCCACAGGCTGGATTCAAACCTGGGCCGCCCGCTTTGAGGACCACGGCCTCCATACATGGGGCGTGCACACTAACCACTGCGCCACCAGCGCCCCCATTCATGCTAGACTTTAACCCAGAAGACAGCTGAATATGTCCGAGAAGAAAACAATATGTATGAAACAAAAAACAAAAAAATCAAATTGTTGGGTCATTTTTCCAGCTGCAGACTTTGCTGCTTTGGATTGCATTTTATTGTCAATTTTATTCTAATGTTCATACAAACATCTATTCAACCAAGAGGACGCACAAGTCCAATCTTACACGTCAGCTAAACTAAGGCGGGGAAGTAGGAGGTTGTTTTTAATTACATTTATAATTGGCTGTTGAATTTAATTGCGTCATGCTGGTGTTTTTACTTAGAAATGCTTCAATGACTTTTTCTGGCTACAAGAAAGACTTTGCAGATGTGAATGTCGAGGGATTTGCAATAAGCCAATTATACTGTATATTCCTTCCAAAGGCATCGTGTCGTTTCATTAATTATCTGATTTTTCATTCCAACTTGAGGTGGCAAGTGAGTTTTGAGTATAAAATGGGACTGATTCTCCAGCCAGGCTTTAGTCACATGTTCAACCAAATACTTTTCTCATGATCCCCTGCTGCCTATGGTCGTCAATTGTGCAGTCCTGACATCTAACAAGGCCACAACGCACCATAAAAAAAGCCTTTCGTAATGCTACTTGGCTCAGATCTGACTTTAAAATGCACGTTTTGCTCATGTTACCTCACCGCTGACCAAAGTCTTCAGCACACTGCTCGTGCAGCATAACGTATGGCTTTGGCCGTGTCCTCCAGACTCTCGCTCTGTGAGCCAAAGGGAAGCATGCAAACCTCTGCAGTCAGCAGGTTTTATGGCAGCGTGGCCGGCCTCCATCTCCCTCAGCCTCAGCAAGTCCTGGAGTTCAGACCGTGCTCCCTGCAGCCTATAGCTGGAGCTCTGGCTCGGGGGCCAGACAACACTGCTCAGACTTTCCATGAGCAGACATGTTCGTAACCTCTCAGGGGGACTGTTTGAAAAAAAAAAAGTGTAACAGCAGGGGATCATGGTGAATACGAGAGGGCTGAAAAAACAAAAGATATCCGCTCTGATGATGGAGAAAGGTCAACTACAAAATCTAGTTTAAAAAATCAGACTCTCTGAAGTCTGATTGGCCACCCTGTTGTGCTAAACTATAGCTCTTTGTGGATTACATTTACACAAGAGGAACAAAGCTCTGCCATCAGAATGCTTTTGTAAAAGTGGGAAATTGGTGTGAAAGTGAGAGATTTTACGATGTTGCAGAAGCGCGGCGGAGCGACTGTGGGCAATAATACCGCCTCAGTGCGTTACACATTGCAGACAGAGGGGACGTAAATATCTCCTCTTGAACTGGCAATACATAGGCAGCTTATGATTGGCTCTCTGCGCAGTCAGAGGCGAGATATATGTTCAACTTAACTTATAGGGATGTGCTGCTTTTTGCTATTGTGAAATTTTTTATTGCACGTTTCTCTTGTTGGTTCTCTTTGCTGTGACTTATGTTGATACTTTGTCTTTTTGAGTCTAAGCATGGCAGATTTCTGTTTCCAAAAATGGTACACAGGAAAAAACAGAACACACCTTCAAGTTAGCAGTTAGTAAGATGTACTCGATATGATAACAGGAGAAAGAAATGTAAATCTGGAAAATGTGAGTCATGCCCCCCCTGTGTAAGTTGGTGCCCCAAACGGGCCGCCCCAGTCAGAAAGAGTCCGGACACGGCCCTGTTCGTGAGGTTTGTGATAAGAAGTTGACTGGACAAGTGGTTTAAATGAATCTGTTCAATTATTCACGTGGGTCAAATTGTTTTGATATTAAATTAAATTGCCCTACATTAAAAACATAAAAATGTAACGATTATCCTTTACGTCTGTCAGTCATTTTAAATATATTCACACTAGTGACAGCCCACAAACACACACAGTCATACTTTCACTAAATTCTTTTAATGAGAGTCAATGTCTCCCTAAAAATCTCAGGTGTCTTACTTTGAGTTTTAATGATCTTGGCCCACATATAATTGCAGAAACGCCACACCTGAGCTCGACCATAAAGAGAAGAAGTCCTATCAAACGCTGCCAAAGTTTTTCATGATGTGAGAAGCCACATTAAATCTGGGAATGCTTTATGAATATCCCCTCAATCTGCCAATGAAAACAAGGGTAATTGGTGCACCCAGATCCAAAGAAATATCCATATTGGAGTCGATATACTTCCCCCCCTTTAACTACCCTGGTTTAAACTTAAAGTCCTCAAGAGGCATGAGCAGTGGTGGCACCACTGAGAGCATAACAACCAATCAAATCTCACTCTTAAAGAGCAAAATATCCGTGCAGACAGCGCTAACAAGTGTTAATGTAATTACCCAGACCGTTCAGAGGAAGTGGCATGGGAACAGTCTGAGTCCTGCAGTCCACGGCCCAACAACAGCGTCTCACTGGCCGTCGTCAGGAAACCGGAGCAGACGATTCAGCGGGGAGCTCTGGTTTCAGATCAAAGCCCCCGCTGCTCCATCCACTGATAACTGCTGGTTAGTGTTGCTTCATCTATTTGCACACGGCCAGGGAATGTTTTTTCAAGCACAGAGGAAGGATCATTCATCCAATTTATTTCAAATCACCGCAGCGCAGACCGCACGGCCCCCCCTGAACCTCAGCGGTGAGCGCCGAGGGCCAGAGCAGTGAGATCATAAAGTTTGTCCTCCTAAAACTCTGCTCTCTCGGAGATAAATAACGGGGCTCACAAAAAAAAGCTGCAGTTATTTTATCGGAGGGGTTTGGACGGTCTCAGTCTGATTCTAGGTTTAAAACGTTATGTATTAAAAAGTTTACAACCGGGTTTCTTTGACCTTATTATTAAAAAAAAAACCTGACAGCAGTGGAAAGAAGTACCAAAGGTATGAGAATAAAGAGATATTAAAACAACAAGTAAGACGTGTCAAAGTGTTGGTAAACCCAATCTGCTCCCCCGACAGAGTCCTGTAAGTGACCTGAACAGTAACATCATAGTTTAACGTTATGAAAGTGAGCACGCCGAGGATGTTAACCACTTCTGTGCTGAATCACTTGAAAATAAAACAACGGGTCATTTGATTGTTTTTGTCCTGACTTTTTAGGGCACAGAAAAAATTGTCAGGCAGAAAATTATTTAACATTCGGCAACATTTTGAATCGGGAAATTTACTTCCAGAACCAGAGCTGACAAAAAAAGATGGCGGTCACTGTCGAGCTCTGTAGTTATCAAAGTCAATGCTCTCGTTTAACTCAACAAAGAAAGCAAAGCAACTCCCCCCCCCCATCTGCAGGTTCATGAAACAGAGTTTTAAAGGCCAAAAGTTCAGCTCCTGCTGAAATAATCAGTGAGTCATATGACAATGATCAAAAGTCCCCTCTGTACCTGAAGATTAATTGGGGTCATTTCATGCTGGAAAGGCAGAAAAAAAAACCCTTTAGTGGCTTGGACAGAATGTTCCCTTTGTAATTATTTCCATGGACTGGATAGAGGTCATTAATAGTAGCCGGATCCTTTAAGTGAACAATAGGAGGTTGTTATTGTCAAAAATGACTGACTGAAGTGGTACTAAGTGAAGAGCTGTTTGCAGAAAGACGAGGCCAACTCGTTTCTCGGAGCTGAGCCAAATAATCTGATCACTGAGGAGACTACTTGATTTAAAGTCCGTCTTTATGTGGTGTTAATCACTCACCATCATCCAGGTACATCTGGTCCAGCTCCTGTGGTTCTTGTTTGATGCTGACAGCCAAAGCAGGGGGGCTGCCTTCCTCCTGCAGGTCATCCCGCCCACTCTCTGACGCCTTGGGGTGCTGCTGAGCTCCTGGGCTGGTGCTAATGCTAACAGGCGGCGCTGCTGTCATGCTGAGCGGCGGGGAAAAGGGGGCGTCAGTTGGAGTTGAGGGTGAGGCCGGGGAGGAGCAGGAGGAGGAGCTGCTGGGTGGGTAGAGGCTTGGCGGCTGGAAGCGCCCGGGTGTCTCCTGGATGATGGAGACGTGCGGGATCGGGGACGGTTGGATCGCAGGGGCCGCAGGGAGGCACTTTGTGAAGAGAGGCGGAGACAGGTCGTGCAGTTTGGGGCTGGTGCTAGGAGAGGACGGGGAGGGCAGCGGTGAAGGCTTGGCTGCCAATCTTTGCTGGCTGAGAGAGTAAGCTCCGCCCACCACACATGGCCTGGGGTCCGAGGGCACCATCGGGGTCACGACCTGAGGGGAGAAGTATGGCTTTTGGAGCAAGGACAGGCCGGGGGCGTGCTGGCCGCACACCAGAGGGGCGTCAAAGTCGTCATGTGGCTCCGTCTTTATTGTGGGAACTAAGAGAGGAAACGAAGAAGACAAATTAAAAAACATGTAATCCAACTGTTCTGCAGCAATGTGAGTGAGTGAGTGAGTGAGGGAGGGAGTGAGGGAGTTAGGGAGTGAGTGAGGGAGTGAGTGAGTGAGTGAGTGAGGGAGTGAGGGAGTGAGTGAGTGAGGGAGTGAGGGAGTGAGGGAGTGAGTGAGTGAGTGAGGGAGTGAGGGAGTGAGTGAGTGAGTGAGTGAGGGAGTGAGTGAGTGAGTGAGGGAGTGAGGAGTGAGTGAGGGAGTGAGGGAGTTAGGGAGTGAGGGAGTGAGTGAGTGAGTGAGGGAGTGAGGGAGTGAGTGAGTGAGTGAGTGAGTGAGTGAGGGAGTGAGGGAGTGAGTGAGTGAGTGAGGGAGTGAGGGAGTGAGTGAGGGAGTGAGGGAGTTAGGGAGTGAGGGAGTGAGTGAGTGAGGGAGTGAGTGAGGAGTGAGGGAGTGAGTGAGGGAGGGAGTGAGTGAGTGAGGGAGTTAGGGAGTGAGGGAGGGAGTAAGTGAGTGAGGGAGTGAGTGAGTGAGGGACTGAGTGAGGGAGTTAGGGAGTGAGGGAGGGAGTGAGTGAGTGAGGGACTGAGTGAGGGAGTTAGGGAGTGAGGGAGGGAGTGAGTGAGTGAGGGAGTTAGGGAGTGAGGGAGGGAGTGAGTGAGTGAGTGAGTGAGGGAGTTAGGGAGTGAGGGAGGGAGGGAGTGAGTGAGTGAGTGAGGGAGGGAGGGAGTGAGCGAGTGAGTGAGTGAGCGATGGAGTGAGTGATGGAGTTAGGGAGTGAGGGAGTGAGTGAGTGAGGGAGTGAGTGAGTGAGTGAGTGAGTGAAGGAGTGAGTGAGTGAGTGAAGGAGTGAGGGAGTGAAGGAGTGAGTGAGTGAAGGAGTGAGGGAGTGAGTGAGTGAGTGAGTGAGCGAGTGAGTGAAGGAGTGAGTGAGTGAGTGAGGGAGTTAGGGAGTGAGGGAGTGAGTGAGTGAAGGAGTTAGGGAGTGAGGGAGTGAGTGAGTGAAGGAGTGAGGGAGTGAGTGAGTGAGTGAGTGAGCGAGTGAGTGAAGGAGTGAGGGAGGGAGTTAGGGAGTGAGGGAGTGAGTGAGTTAGGGAGTGAGTGAGTGAGTGAGTGAGTGAGTGAGTGAGTGAGGGAGGGAGTGAGGGAGTGAGGGAGTGAGGGAGTGAGTGAGGGAGTTAGGGAGTGAGGGAGTGAGTGAGTTAGGGAGTGAGTGAGTGAGTGAGTGAGTGAGTGAGTGAGTGAGTGAGTGAGGGAGGGAGTGAGTGAGTGAGTGAGTGAGTGAAGGAGTGAGGGAGGGAGTTAGGGAGTGAGGGAGTGAGTGAGTTAGGGAGTGAGTGAGTGAGTGAGTGAGTGAGTGAGTGAGTGAGTGAGTGAGTGAGGGAGGGAGTGAGTGAGTGAGTGAGTGAGTGAGTGAGTGAGTGAGTGAGTGAGTGAGGGAGTGAATGAGTGAGTGAGTGAGTGAGTGAGTGAGTGAGTGAGTGAGTGAGTGAGTGAGGGAGTGAGTGAGGGAGTGAGTGAGTGAGTGAGTGAGTGAGTGAGTGAGGGAGTGAGTGAGGGAGTGAGTGAGTGAGGGAGTGAGGGAGTGAGTGAGGGAGTGAGGGAGTTAGGGAGTGAGGGAGTGAGTGAGTGAGGGAGTGAGTGAGGGAGTGAGGGAGTGAGTGAGGGAGGGAGTGAGTGAGTGAGGGAGTTAGGGAGTGAGGGAGGGAGTAAGTGAGTGAGGGAGTGAGTGAGTGAGGGACTGAGTGAGGGAGTTAGGGAGTGAGGGAGGGAGTGAGTGAGTGAGGGACTGAGTGAGGGAGTTAGGGAGTGAGGGAGGGAGTGAGTGAGTGAGGGAGTTAGGGAGTGAGGGAGGGAGTGAGTGAGTGAGTGAGTGAGTGAGTGAGTGAGGGAGTGAGTGAGTGAGTGAGGGAGTGAGAGAACCTGCAGCCAAACAAACTCTCTCATCATGAGTCTTTGTGTTCGAGCCTCCTCGTTCAAAAAGCAGAAGAGAGAAAAAGCGGATGAGTCATCAACACGAGAAACATCCAGCTGCTTCTTTAATGAAATGCTTGTTTTCTTTGGATCCTGCTCTGGTGCTAAAATCCACTAAATGTGCGATATGAAATATGTTGCTATTACAGCAGCTTCAAACGCAGCGGGAGTCGGCCATTTTGAATAAATGACGGCTTTCTCAAGAAGACAAAGAAACACTAAAGCTGATTATTAACTCAAGGCGTACATGTGAGGTCTGATGGGTTCAAATGAGATTCCAGTGAAGAACATCGAGGTTGAAAATGTGGACTGTCAATCTGCCGCCGCTCCTGACACGACATCCATCTTTTATAACAAGCGTTTCAGTCCAGATACAAGCAGACGAGAGCGAGGCTCCGACCCTGAGCTTCAACACTGCATCACTAAACTGGATCTAGTCCTTCTTTTCTTTGTGCAAAAGCTGTTTTAGATCACAATATGACGCATGTGCTTGAAATCAAAGCTGATGCAGTTACATTTCTCAGACTTTACTCTACCTCCTACGATTCATATTCTTATTCCACCGAGACGTTTTCAGATTTGAGTTTCCTGAACGCACTGGATACATGTTTTTGTACTTATTTAGAATCCACTAGGATTGAAAGAGGATCTGATTTTAACATGTGTTGCCACTCCAGATAATTGCCGAAGGAATCTTCATGGACGTAGTGTCAGTGACATCACTTGTTGGTTTCTGAAGAGGTATTAAGAAGCCCCTTAACGGCGGTCGAACATATTGGAAATGCTGATTCACACCAAACATCTGGCTATTCGAGACTGAGGTAAGAAGAAAGACAGCTGACACCCTCCCTGTTTCTCTCTCAGCCTTACAACTCATCTGTAGAGTGAAGAAATGAGCTACAGAGACCAAAACTGTAAGCAGGCTGTAATCATCATGTCTGCTGTATGAATGACATTTTAATACAAACTCTAATCGGGAGCACTAGGTGTCAGAGTGTTGTGGAGAGAAGATCCTCCCTTTATTCTGTTGTGTATTAAACAACAAAAGAAAAAGGATCTCAAACAGGAGCTGGCTCCCATCCTTCACATAAGAGAAGCCGGTGTTCTATCAAAGACTGCTACCCATCGTGATGTGCTTCCATACTGCTCTGTGCAAGCATCATGCTTCCCTCTAAAATATGAAAAACATGTTTTATCAAAGAGTTGTAAAACAGGCTTCCAGTTTTCTTAAAGTGCAGATGCGGCGAGTAGAGTTGTTTAAAGTGACTCTATAACGGGAGCATTATTTGATAGGAGAGAATTGTCCATCGAGATACGCTTTCCCTGAAATCTTCAATAAGAGAGAATCATAACACGCTCCCCATACTCTCACAATGCATATACAGCGAGAAGACAATTAATAGAAGTGGTTCAGTGCTGCTGAGCAGGTTTGTTGGTTATTGAAACATCACTAATTGCTCCCTCTTGCACATGTGATAATCTTAATATTCCCTGTGGTGTAATGTGCCTTCTTCTTAATCTACTGTAGCATGCTCATGTTTGAGAGGAGAGAGAAACTTTACCATGCTACTAGAGTTAAACTGGTTTGTATTTTTAAAAACCTACAAGTCTGAATCCAGCTCTGGGAAAACTTTAGAAAAAAAAGATGTTTTTAATCTAGCAGGATTTACGCGACAAAAGTAAATTGCTAATTAAAGTCGAGAGTGAAACGTGGATGTGTCATGCTTTAGCGAGGCTTCAGCTGTAAAAGAGGAACTGCGAGGAGATGGTTACACCGACCGCAGAACTAAAATAGCTCGTGCTCCACTATTTTAAGGCTTGTTTGGGAGGAAGTGCGTGTGCTCTGCCCGTGGAGGATAGGCAGGCAGATGCAGACGCACAGAAAGAAACCAGGAGACGTGCAAATGTTTGTGTAGCAACAAAAGATAGAAGTTGGGTGGGTTTCCGGAGTGTGAAATCAGCCGTGCGTAATGTATCTCCCAAAATAAATCTGTCGCTCTTGAATAAGATGTTGTAACACCTGCTGACGCTGCTGCAAAGAAAAGCCCTTTTTCAGTTTCCATCTTTTTGTTATGTTTTCATCTTGAGTGTTATCATCATCAGAGTCTTTAGTTCTCATCTAAAAAAAAAGTCTCTCCTTGATTTATCTTTTGTGTTAAAGCACGTTACCTTTCTTTCCTTTTTTTTTAAACCTTGATATATTTAATGAAAAATCGAACCTTATACAGTTTTTTCAACAAGTGGCAGCTTAACCTATAGCCTATTTCAATAAGTATTTTGTTTAGATAAACATCTGTATAAAACATATACATATATCTAATCTTAAGTTAATTAAAACTGCTGTTTGGTTTTGGTATTTGTCTTTAATGTTTTTACATATCGGTTCTTTGTGTTATTACTTTATTGTGGTATTTGTGCGGGCACATCTTCTTCTTCAGTGTACAATATGTTCCCCCAAAAAACAATTTATTTCCCCCAGGAGCTGCAGGAACTCCTGCTGCAGGAACAATTCAAGTTGTTCAGCTTTAGCTCTTTTAATAAAGTTCCTTCATTAAAAACACATCGAAAAACAGAGAATGGTTTCGATGTTTTTTCTGTCTTCTCATTGGTTATGAACTTTTTCCAAAGACTTGCAGATCTTAAATCTTCAATTGAACTTTTCTGACTCTCACTTTTTCACGAGGTTCTGACCAGACGAGCTGTCCCCCCGTCTCTCCCCCCCCTCCCCCACACCCTCTCTGCATCCAGAGGACAATGCTCCACTTTCACAGCGGGGCACTCCGCTCGCCCACGTACAGGGCTGGGCCCCGCTCGCTTGAATCACAGCTTTGAACCACCCACTGGATTTTGTGCTCTGAGCCCAAAACGCAATTAACAGCGGTTTTTACTTTTCATTTGCTCGGTCAGTGTTTATATTTAGCTTGGCAGTAGGTCCTCTATTCAAATAACTTGCTTTTCCCATGCTCGTCTCCCCACCCTGCTGCTGTCCACTCAGCGCTGCCTTCACGCAGCTACAGGTACGGAAAAGAACAGATTTTATAGATGTATTTTGTTTACTGTGGAGGAATAATAGAGTTGCTTTGTTCCTCCCTAGAAAACCGCTAAGACAAAAGGGAAAACAAACTGTTTTTATTCTGCTCTTCAGATGTGAACTCTGGTTTTTAACGCTGGTTAAAAAGTTTCTCATTAGTCAGGATATGAAGGAAAGAGAAGGCACAGAGTGGAGAAGTGATGACGGGGAAGTTAGAGAGGCAGAATATGAAAGGGTGTGCAGAGAGGTTTGAAGGGTATTTTCCTTTTTTGGTGATACATCTGAATGAACATCAAACAGATGATAGTGGTTTTAGACAAAGGCATTCAAAGGCCAAAACGTAACAAAACACTGTGTCTGCTGTACTGTGTAATTTACATTCGACTGCTGTGATTGGATGCTGACATCATGACCACTCTCTTGATATAATAAACCTGAAGACAATCTTTAATCTGATCCAAACCGTGAATTAAAGAAGTTTAAGAGAAAGCAGCATTTTTTTCTTTTAGATAATTTTGTGGGCTTTTATGCCATCAAAGGTCAAAGGTCAAAGGTATCTTTATTGTTCCCACAAGGGGACAGATAGAACAACAGTGGATAGTGTCGGAAAGAGTGAGGAATAATATGCAGCAAAGTGCCGAGGGTGGGAGTCAAACCCTGGTCGCCCGCTTCAGGGACGGCAGCCTCTGACCATGGGGACTGCTCGATGTAACGGCGAGGTTAAACTGCGCCAAGAAAGATATGCTCTCTGAAAACCGAGCACTACTTTGACATATTTTGAGATCAAAATGACCAAATGTACAAAAGTTTTGTGATTGCTTCATCCTGCAGCGGAAGAAGCTGGAACTGCTGCGATATAATCCTTTGGGGAAACTGCAACCGATCAAAGTGATGAGGCTCAGATTGAAATTCTTCTGACGTTTTCCACACATGCAACTACTGAAAATGTCTGGAAAGTTATACTGTTCATGAAGTCTTTCTGAGTTGGTTGTTCACACTCTGGATAGCTGGAGACTATCCAGAGAGAGAGTCTACTATACGACGCTACAATGAGCCTTTATATCAATGCTACCTCTCCTTTGACACATGCACAATGCCAATAAAAGTGTAGAGGAAAAAAAAAGGCTGCATACAGTCTATGGCAGGGGTGTCCAAATTGCGGCCCGAGGGTCATTTGCGGCCCTTGAGGGGATTTTTTGCGGCCCGTGACTTCAAATGAGGCCTTGATTAAGATTGGCACATTATCTTATTTTTCTTTTTCATGTTAACAAGGGCTGAACAATATTCCTAAAATAGAAAATGTTCAGTAACATGTATGTTGTTGTTTTTTTTTTTTAAATCTACAGCTTGTACTATTTTTTGTAAACTATGAAAAAAAACTTATGCAAAGTTTTTGCAAACAAGCGGACTGTTGTTTAACCATTTAATGACCTGAGCTAAATGCAGAAAGCTTTTCCAAAAAACATGAACCACGTTACAGGCTTGATTCTGAAAAAAAAACAAATAAAGTAGAACGAAGAAATCAAAATATTTGATTTCCTTTTATTAAAGGGTTTATTCAGCGAGCCTTTTGATTCTGATCTACAAAGCCTTACTGTTTTTTCAACTATATTTTAAAAAAACAAAACCTGTGGCCCGCGAGGGATTCTAACACAACAACTTTGGCCCGCAAGAAAAAAAGTTTGGACACCACTGGTCTATGGTCATGTCATCAACGTTACCAACCCCCTCCCATCCTCTTGCTGTGAATATTCCTGAGAATTTCCTGCGGTGTTCTTACAGCATCTCACCCCGACTTCACAAAGACAATTTACTGGGCTGGCAGTAGAAAATGTGTGTGATACAAGTGGTTGTTGGTGTTAACACAGGCAGCTCATCCCAAAGGTAGGAACACCTCGTCCCCCCCATCACTCCTCTGTGACATTCATATCGAAGGAGAAAGGTCGCAGAGTGGTGAGAAGTTCTAAATGTTTAGTTTGATGTAATTTGATGAAAACAAATAAAATAAATGAATTCAATGACTCCTCTACAGGACACTTCATCTCTCTCTGTTCAGAAAAACTACATAATGATGTCAGAGGTGCAGAGCTTTGTTTACCATTAGCAGGGACGTAGGTGAAGCGCTGGTACTGGCTTCTTTTCCTCTTGCCGTTGCAGACGTAGAAGTTCACGTGGACCGGAGTGGAGAGTCTTTGGTTTCGATACGGAGGAATTTCAACGAGCAGTGAATTCTGCAAAGAAGAACAAAAATGGAAAACTTTACTAAAATTGACCAACAGATTCATGTATAGACTCTGATTTCATAGTATGTATGAACAAAGTTACACCAGTGCAATGTTTCTAACTTTGACCTTTAATTTAAGGTAACGTTTGTCTTTGAAGTTGCAGTATCATTACTCACCTTACTTACTTTCTACCTGTTTTAAGATTTCAAATTCATGAAGTTTTTCTAATTTTTCTATCATATTGATGCCAGATTTTGTACCTTTATGTTTTCTTTAGCAGTGTTTTTTTGTATATATTTTTAAAGGTCACATATATAATTCACAGCTTCAAGACGACAGGAATGTGATTTAATATTTCTTTTAGTTCTACATTGCTTTATAAAATCAAGTTGGATCTTTAAAGGAACCGTCAGGGTCAGAGCACTGACAAAGTTTTTGTTAAACACCGATACAAACGCAATCATTTGAGTTTTAAGATGGAGAAATGTGATGCATTTTTTTTTATTGTTTTCCTTTGTTGTTTTGGTTTTATTTCTTGGTCTTGGTTCTTGTTTTCCTTTCGTTCCTTTGTATCCCTCGCCTGAAGGTGTGTCTGTTTTTCTGGGCTGAGAATAAAATCTAGAAAATCTGGTTGTAATCCCAAACAAGAGAGAGAGCCACAAAGAGACGGCGGAGCGAGGTGATAGAGAGCCGTGGTTGTTTGCACAGTACGTACCTCAGCTGATGTTAATAAATTGGATCCGGGACCGTGCGAATAGTTTATTTCCCCAGCAGAGTTTCCTGCTGTCTGAGAACGGCTGAAGGCCAGCAGCGACCAGGTTCAGTCTGTGGCCACATCAGATCCACATGTGTGTGTTTCTATACGTGTGTGTGTGTGTGTCTGTACATGTGTGTGAATATATACAGCACATCAGAGGTTGAGGTGCTGCTCGGTAGCCCAGGAGGAAGTCATCTGTCTACCAAAGTGTGCTGCAGAGAACGAGTGACCCCGACATGCACAGGTGAGAGCTGACACACGTTTTATTAAATCACTGCAGTCGTAAAATCAAGTGAAGCCAGATGAGGCTTTTAGGCTTCTCTTATCCATAAAAAAATCCTAGAAAAATATCTGATAATACTCTGGAAGCTGTCCACCATTTCTACTGCCTACAGTCTAAGTGTCTTCTGCATGAACTGGATTATTAACATCTTTTAAAGCTCCTTTGATGAGGGTTT